AGAGGTAGGTTTAATCCTTAAATACAGAATATTATTTAAAAAATAGGAATTTTTCGGGGCGCCTGGGTGGCTCAGTTGTTAAGTGTCTGCCTTCGGCTCAGGTCATGATCCCGGGGTCCTGGGATGGAGCCCCGCATCAGGCTCCGTGCTCAGCGGGAAGCCTGCTTCTCCCTCTCCCACTCCCCCTGCTTGTATTCCCTCTCTCGCTGTGTCTCTCTCTGTCAAATAAATAAATAAAATCTTTAAAAAAAAATAGGAATTTTTTTTATATCCACATAGCCATATAAGTTGAGTTGCATATGATTTCCAGAAATGAAAGAAATAAGAAACTTTCGGTAGGTAGAAACTTATAATGTCTCTTTTAAAGAGGTACAAGTGAAATAGTGGTCATGTGTTTACATGTTGCTGAGAAACGTATTTATGCTTCTATTTGGTGCTGTAAGACTCCAGATAGCATTGCAGCTAAGAACATGGGTTCTGGATCGATACTTCCTATATATAAATGCTGGTTACTGGGCAAATTACTTACCTGTAGTGTACCTCAGTGTCCTAATCTATGAAATAGTACCTAGCCTGTAAAATCCGTTAAGAGAATTAAGTGAACTAGTACATATAATGAAGTTAGGGAGTTCCTAGCACATGGTAGGCATCCAAAAGAAGTTATTTTTTACATTATTTATTATCATTATTATCAGTATTTTTATGTAATGGAATAAAATTACCTCAGTAAGCTTTCCTCAACTCTCTAAATGCACCACATCGATTATACTATGTATGGTCTGAATTGACATCTGTTATTAATTAGTATTATAGGCTCCTAGTTGGTACAGGGCAGTAACTAAAATTTAAGCAACAATTTTCTCAATATTGTTGGAAGTGTCTTATATCTGGTGACTGAGTATGGGAAGAAAAACAAAGGCAGGATAAAGACCCTCAGCTAGAAAAAAATATGTGTCGAGGTTCAAAGGGTGAAGAGCTGAGTGAATGTACATGAGAGGGAGGCAAAGTGAATCCTAAAATTTCTGTTGGATAAACATAAAGAAAAACAAAGATTTCTAATAAGGAATGACAGACCAATTTCTGGTTTGGGGCTGTTTCCTCCATCTTTGAACACTGGGTGAAGAGCTGCCTAATTTACATATCTCTCATCTCCCACAAGGGAAAGAACAAGACTGTATAAGGGCCATTTGCCCAGTCAGGCTTACAGAGCCACTGTAAGCATCTGTAAGCATTTGTGGCATCTATTGAGCATCCAGGCATCCCAGAGTTTGCCTGGGCAGTTGTTTTCTACAGTCCTCAGGCTGAGAGGTTCAGGAACAGACACACTGTTAGGGCTGGTTAAGGAGAGTGCAAACTGATCCATTTTCCTTGGGGTCCTTAAGACTTCCTAGCCAAAAACAAACAAGCACACACACAAACTAAATCCCAATTCCTTATGTCTAATATGTATGAATTGAAAGGAATAGTGCTTTCTAGATTCATTATGACCCCCAATTAAATAAATTTCTAGTTTACAAATCTGTGGGTCAAGAATGCTTCATTTGATTTGCCCTATACAGAGTAGACATGAAATAGAGACCAATGATTCAGGCCCATCCAAGGACAAATATTTTATGTTTTTAGCTATAAGGTGTTAACCAGTAAAAAAAAAAAACACCTCTGTAACTGCTCTTTGATCCCCAACTTCTGCTTCTTTTGTGATTATTGCTTCCACTTGGCTGAATCATTTTGCTTCTCATATCAAAGATAACTAAGAAAACTATGTGCTATCAACTTAATTTAAATCTATTCCATAATGGATCCATATTCCATAATGAAAATTAAGTATTTTGACAAAAGTATTACAGAATCAAAAAAGAAAAGGTATCTAATTGCTTCACAATTATCTGTAAACCTGTAAATTGCTTTCCTCTCATACACATTTATTCAGCTCTTTACCTTTTGAACCTCAGCACAGGGTCTTTAGTAAACAAGTTACATTATGTACCAATAGTGATTTTTACCACTTGTATCCAGAAATCAGTGACTGGTAAGATCAGAGTATAAATTTTTCACCATTATATTAATGGAGGAGGTTGTCCTTCTCTGAGTAATCAAGATGAAACCCTTTTAGGGTTTTACACCTTGTTGGCACAGATTAGATTTTGGTCTCCTTATGTTCAAGGAAGGACATTTTTGCAGGTATTATGAAAAAGGAAGGTAAAAAACAAGCTTATGAAACTTTGATAAAAATAATTGAGCATGAAAATTCAAATACTATGTCACTATAGAAACAGTAGAGTGATAATTAAAAATACAGACATCAGAGTAGTTGTAGGAAATATATTATGAATAATACGTAAGCCAAGTGCATGTGTTAACATTTTTTCAAGAGCTTTAACACAGTTCTTAGATTTTCAGTGCCAACTGATATGCTGTTATTAAAAAATAACTAAAACAAAACTTTGCAAACTTACTCCAAGCTTAGAGGCTACAAGAATGACATATTTTTGCTTTAACATTTAGTTATGAATAACATAATGAAAAAAATCTTTCATAATTATAATAGAAAATTGGCACTCTGTTAGTAATAAGCACAAGAAAATAGCAAAGCCTTACCTTGTGTAAACACACTTTATATCTGCCTGATATTCTTTATATATGTGAAATGATAGGTTATAAATCAAAGAGATAACAAGTCTTTTCCTTGTTCAAGGGTGGGTGCCTCCACCAAGTCAATGTATAAAGGTGCTTTCTCAGCAAAGCTGGTGGCATCACAATTCCGGACTTCCAGCTCGATTACAAAGCTGTCATCATCAAGACAGTATGGTACTGGCACAAAAACAGACACATAGATCAATGGAACAGAACAGAGAGCCCAGAAATGGACCCTCAACTCTATGGTCAACTAATCTTCGACAAAGCAGGAAAGAATGTCCAATGGAAAAAAGACAGTCCCTTCAACAAATGGTGTTGGAAAATTGGACAGCCACATGAAGAAGAATGAAACTGGACCATTTCCTTACACCACACACAAAAATAGACTCCAAATGGTTGAAAGACCTAAATGTGAGACAGGAGTCCATCAACATCCTAAAGGAGAACACAGGCAGCAACCTCTTCAACCTTAGCCGCAGCAAATTCTTCCTAGAAACATCGCCAAAGGCAAGGGAAGCAAGGGCAGAAATTGGGACTTCATCAAGATAAAAAGCTTTTCCAAAGCAAAGGAAACAGTCAACAAAACCAAAAGACAACCGACAGAATGGGAGAAGATATTTGCAAATGATGTATCAGATAAAGGGCTAGTATCCAAAATCTATAAAGAACTTATCAAACTCAACACCCAAAGAACAAAGAATCCAATCAAGAAATGGGCAGAAGACATGAACAGACATTTTTCCAAAGAAGACATCCAAATGGCCAACAGACACATGAAAAAGTGCTGAACATCGCTCGGCATCAGGGAAATTCAAATCAAAACCTCAATGAGATACCACCTCACAGCAGTCAGAATGGCTAAAATTAACAAGTCAGGAAACCACAGATGTTGGCGGGGATGCAGAGAAAGGGGAACCCTCCTACACTGTTGGTGGGAATGCAAGCTGGAGCAGCCACTCTGGAAAACAGTATGGAGGTTCCTCAGAAAGTTGAAAATAGAGCTACCCTACGATCCAGCAATTGCACTACTGGGTATTTACCCCAAAGATACAAATGTAGGGATCCGAAAGGGTACGTGCACCCCGATGTTTATAGCAGCAATGTCCACAATAGCCAAACTGTGGAAAGAGCCAAGATGTCCATCGACAGATGAATGGATAAAGAAGATGTGGTGTATATATACTATGGAATATTATGCAGCCATCAAAAGGAATGACATCTTGCCATTTGCAATGATGTGGATGGAACTGGAGGGTGTTATGCTGAGCGAAATAAGTCAATCAGAGAAAGACATGTATCATATGACCTCACTGATAGGAAGAATTCTTAACCTCAGGAAACAAACTGAGGGTTGCTGGAGTAGGGGGGGGTGGGAGGGATGGGGTGCCTGGGTGATAGACATTGGGGAGGGAATGTGCTATGGTGAGCGCTGTGAATTGTGCAAGACTGTTGAATCTCAGATCTGTACCCCTGAAACAAATAATGCAATATGTTAAAAAGGAAGAAGAAGAAGAAGAAGAAGAAGAAGAAGAAGAAGAAGAAGAAGAAGAAGAAGAAGAAGAAGAAGAAGAAGAAGAAGAAGAAGAAGAAGAAGAAGAAGAAGAAGGAAGAAGAAGAAGAAGAAGAAGACGACGACGACGACGGAGACGAAGACGAAGACGAAGAAAGCAGGAGCGGAAGAAGGAAGGGGGGGAAATCGGAGGGGGAGACGAACCATGAGAGACGATGGATTCTGAAAAACACACTGAGGGTTCTAGAGGGGAGGGGGTGGAAGGATGGGTTAGCCTGGTGATGGGTATTAAAGAGGGCATGTTCTGCATGGAGCACTGGGTGTTATGCACAAACAATGAATCATGGAACACTACATCAAAAACTAATGATGTAATGTATGGTGATTAACATAACAATTAAAAAATTTTTCAAAAAAGGTGCTTTCTCCACATTGCCAGATTAGATGGTAAGGGTGGAGAGAAAAATATACAGACATGGTGTAGCTCCAGTCATTCTGAGGACTGTGTTCACTGAAGTTGTTAACTAAATCACATGACACAACCTCTTTTTACAGAACTGCAAGTATACTAAGATTTCTAAGGATAGATATTACCTAATATTAATCAGCAAAGACCCCAGAGCTTTACACAATCATATTCATGACGTGTAACATTTTCTAAGATGTAGAAACCATTCATTATATTGCCATTAATACTGTGTAAGTGAAACCAAAAATTGAGGAACTTGAATTAATTGCTTGATACATCAAAATTAAAACTAATAAAAGGGATACAAGAATTACATCCTTTCCATTTGATATCATAATCTTCTCTTTCTGAAGGTAAATATAATCATATATATATGTGACTAACCTGGTGTTACTACTACTCCATTTCCATTGACCACAGGCCTTTCTTCCTCCTCCTCCTCAGGAGGCTCTATACTTGCTTTCTCCATGTTGCTCACTGATTTATTCCTCTTCCGTTTTCCTTCAGCACTTGGAGTGGCTCCCGGAAGTATCTGGTCTGTCACATTTAATAATAATGGTGCTGGTTCTGCTGGAGGCTTTGGCGTGCCGTAGTAATTGTCTGCAAATGATACCAAAACATTATGGAGTAAAATATTTCTCTTACTGTGTGCATAATTTGTAAAGAATGGAAATTATATTGACAAATATGTATCCTGTTTCTTACATATGTGTGTATTTACACACATTCATATATATGACTTTGAATCCTTTCACATTTATATATATATATATCTTTATTTGTTGCTTTTACTATATTGGGCTTTAATGCTTAAATAAAGATATAGATTTCTCTTTATCCTCACCTTTTGCCAAACCAAAATATAGTCTTATGTATTAGTCTCATATGGTAGAAAGCAATTTCAAAATTAGTTTTAAAATTTGATAAACCTTGATTATAACCTTTTTAAAGATAATTATGTCTGAATGAGGGTGCAGGTAACATTTTTTTAAAAAGATTTATTTATTTATTTATTTGGGAGAGAGATTGAAAGTGTGTGAGCAGAGGGGAGGGACAGAGGAAGAGGGAGAAAAACAGATGCCCTACTGAGCGTGGAGCTGGATAGGCAAGGCTCCATCTCAGGAACCCAAGATGTGACCTGAGCAGAAACCAAGAGTCAGATGTTTAACTGACTAAGCCACCCAGGAGCCCCATGTAGCTTTTTTTTTTTTTTTTTTAAGCATATCTCGTAACATTCTGGAAAGGCAAAGCATATTGTGCTTTTCAAAGGGCTCTGGCTGTTTCCCTTGATGTGCACGGCACCCTGCCCAAAGGGGTATCGCCAGGCCAGGTTAGTGGCTGCTGACAATGGGCCTGCTGCCCTAATCATCATATTAACACAGCTCTTTTTCCCCACAGCTCCATGATCTGAGCTATGGAATGTTTGTTTCTCTCATCAGTCTGTGAGACTTCTTAAAGGAGGAGACGAATTCTTACTTCTCTCTGTAATAACCGCCTGACACATAGAAGGCATGGAATAAATGCTTACTAAGTGAGCATCTTTACGTATTTAAGGTGAATTGTTTATAGTTTATAAATTTGATTGGTAAAGAACATAGTGGTGTTTTCTAAAATCAGTGTTATACTTTTAGCATCAACTTCAAGCCCACATTGGTGTTGTCATTTAATTGAATAATTTATGCACTCATTTGCTACTCATTCATTACAATCTTTATTTAGTACTGACTCTGTACCCAGGCACTCCAATATATATTTGAGAGAAAATGATGATTGTAAAACAATCCTTATCTTCCAGATGTTCAACAGTGTAGGGTGGAAGATGGGCGCACTTGACATCAAGCAGGTAAGCATTAGAACTGTAAATGGGACTAAATACTGCAATCAAGGAGGCACAGAGGAGGAGGAAGCACGTGTCAATATGTGCAGAGGCCACTGAAGGCCACTGGGAAAACAGTGTGCTGTGAAAGAAACAACCCTGAACTAGAAGTCATGGGTTCTAGACTTGGCTTTTCCAGACGACTGCAATGCAAGGAAGTGACTTAAGCTCACCGAGGTTCAATTTCTTCATCTCTATATTGGGAATAGTGATTCTTGTTATACCTATGGGTTGCCAATAACCCAAACCTACTGTAGTTAAGTTAAACATTATAGGCATGTGCTGAGAAGAAATGAGATGGTTAGTTGAGGGAAGAGGCTGAAAAATCTTGGGGAAAATGGGCTGAAACAAAGGAGTCTGGTCCAAACATGCAAGTAGCCTTTGTGGTCCCCAGACTCTGAAAGCCCAGCTGATTCTATTGCCATGGACACAGCCCTTGCCTGCCACCCCTTTGGCTGGAATGAGCCCCAGTCCCTCCTCAAGAGCTCCGATTCGCTCATCTCCAGGAAAACTCTCAGGCAGGGCTGTCTCATTGGCTGAGCCTCAGTCACAGGGGAGCCTGTGAGCTGCCAAATTAGGGCAGGAGAATGGCTGCTCTCCTTCAACTTTGGGAGAGGGAGGCAGGGCTCTACCTTCCATCCATCTCATCACAGGGCTCTCCCCAGGAGGGAAGGGTCTTGGGGTGCTGGGCCAGCCGAAATGACCAATGCCTACTACACTTGGCCTCCCCATTGGGTTGCTGTGAAGATGAAGAATGTCTGGAGAAGTGCTTCATAAACTGTAAAATTGCAGTGGTTTTAATGGCAGTGTAAACCTCATGCTGGCCCTAAGTGAATATTCTGAAGGCGAGCTGTACCACTAATGCTGTTGCTCATTTCCATGGGTATTCACAGTTGTAAGAGAAATACAAGGGGAAAAAACACCATCATGTAAAGTGGTTCTTATACATGTAAAACTTTCATACAGAAGTCTGCAAAGTAGATGATACACATTTTGCTAAAGGTTACTTTCTAATTTAATTTAGAGCATTTCAAATGAATCAGACCTTTAAATGTACTTGCTGAATTCTGAGCAAACAAAAACTGCTAGTTACTTCTTAGAAATCTATTATATTTCAGCATCCCTAAGGGCCAGCACCATTTTCAGTACCCTGCTATGCTTTCTATGGAATCTCAATACTTAACTGCTTATCTAATAAACATAAAGTAAAACTAGTAAATAACCTGCATTTCCCACTAAATAATATACTTGTAAGTAGTATTCTGAGAATTTTAATACATTCAGGTATACATAGTATTCAGAAAAATGGATCACGTGTCAGTGGTTCCCCCCCAACTTGTCTTTTATAGTTTAAATTTCCCTGAAGTAGAAACATAACCTTTTATTAATTACAAATAAATTCAAAGCTCAGGATAAAAATAAATATGAAGTAACAGATCCTGTTGAATTTATATTGCTGAATAGTTACACCTATTGGCATGAAATGTGATTATAAATTATATAGTATTATTCTATTTCTACAATTTGATTTATGAAAATAAGACTGATGTAAAACTGTACGAATCATTAGTTAAAATGTTAAGATTATCTTCATTAGCAATAATAAGAGCCATTTAGAAGATGCACAGAAATAGCCCATACAGTTACTACACCTGAGAAATATAATTTATGGAGAACACGCTATTATACCAAACCCAATGCACAGAACAAGGCAACCAGAACTACCTAAACTAAGTTGAAGAATTAGCCAGGTAGATAGCTAAGGCATCGAGAAGATTCCCTGATGTAAGTGTATAGAAATCCATATGCTAAGGGCCAAATGTGCCTTTTAGGTAACATATCAGCATGATTTCAGAAGAAAATGAACACCAAACTGTTTTTAAATATAGTTCGGAAATAGGGTCCCATTAAGAATGAAATGCCTCGATGCATGGTGACAAGCATTTAGCAAACCTAAAATCTCAGAATACCATCACAATATGGTGTAATATTGAATGGCACAGACCATGCTGAGACAGACTGTCTGAATCCTGTGTCCCCTAAACTAGCTGCCTCTTTACATCCTTAAATTTCTTCAGTTAAACTGGGAACATAGAGCTGTAAGAAGACTATAGTCAAAACAGCAACTACAATGACTAGTACTATGATTACCATCACCACCACCACAATTTATTGAGCTGGACCCTGTAATAGACATTTTACCGATGTACTCTTGGATCAAATAGGGTCTAGAATAACTCTTACCCCTCAGTGCTGTTTTAAGGATTAATGATAATGAAGGGATTTTAATGTGACTAGCTCAGAACAGGTCTCAATATATGATGTCTGCCTTAGACATTTATTCATCACAAAACTGTATGAAATCATTCTGTCTCTGTAGTTAAAATGGAAGCTCTAAAAATTAAACCATTTACTAATATTATACATGAAGTGAGTGGAAAACCTGTATCTGTTTGACTGAAGAACTTCATCTCTTCAAAATACTATGTTGCCTCTCAAGAGAAATAAAAAAAAAAAAAAAAAAAAAAAAAGAGGGGGATGAAATTCGCAATCTGCCCTGAACTGACAGGAGAGTACTTCATTCAAAGCCACAACCAATGGGAGAGGGTGGGAGGGAAGGGGGAGACCCCAAGCTGGCTCAGTCTCTAGAGCAGGGGATTCTTGGCCTTGGGTTTATAAATTCCACCCCACATTGGGTGTAGAGATAACTTAAAAATCTTAAAAAAAAAAAAAAAAAAGCCACAACCATTAGGCACAAATTATTACTTTCAAAAAGGAATGGTAATAATTGCTACCAAATAATAAAGTTGGGACATTTTGGGTGACTTTTTTCCCTCCCTCCCCTCCAAAAATGTACATGTGCACATGCGTGCATGCATATGTGTGTTTTGGGGGATGAGGTGGGATATAGGCTTTTCTAGTCTACTCTTCTCTGAATACATCTGTATTTGTAAAAGATGATGTATTCATTAGCAGTTTCATGAGCTTAATATAAAATTTTGTTGTTATCATGATAAAATCAAATGATATATAAAATTGCTCACTTATTTCTATTATAATTAGGATAATCTATACATTACACAGTCTTATTTTTAATCAATGCCTAGGGGGAAAAGGCAATTATTTGAGGAACTTGATCTATTCCTCATCTTTTTAAGTACTTAAAAGAATGAATTTTTTCCCATAAAGTTAGAGTTATAAAAGAAGTGTACCTATTTCTGACATCATAAACATGGAAAAGCTTTCTAGAAATCTGAATAAAAAGAATATTCTATAAAATGTCAATAATTGGTTTTATAATAAAAAAATTAATGCCCATTTACAATGGACACTGTACTAATTTCTTGTAAAGGAAGAGGGACTAAAACAGATTATGTTGCTATGAACTAAACTTGCCTAGGGAGTCCTTGGGAAATCTAATTCACTACCCACTTTTATGCAGACCCATTCCTAAGTCATCTAGAAGAGATGAAAATAGTTTTCTAAATAACTTCTCATGTAGTATACTTGAAGACTACCATGAAATTATTTCTCTCCTTATTAGACCAAATAACCTTTTCAAATAGTCTAAGTTTTTAAAATAATGTTTTTATCTTTTTTCTGACTCATCCTAAGTGTTTGTTTGTTTGTTTGTTCCACATTGATTTTAATGGCAAAGCCAAGGGGGGAAAAGAATAGGAGACTATTTTTTTTTTTTAAAGATTTTATTTATTTATTTGAGAGA